TGCAATGGGAACAGGCGGCATACACACCTTTTGTACGAGGATCGGCTCCTCATCCTCGGCCTTGTTTTCCCAGTCGAGCTCATATTTCCAGCGCCGTTTCTCCGGGGACCAGGACGACCCTCCACTCTCCGATTGAGCCAGGGTTGAGCCGTTAGACAACGAAGAGGTGTCCTCGCTGATTCTGGACAGGACCCCTGGGTCTGGATTGGATGGCCGAGGGGGGGCTTGCGGTGACCACCCATCCCGAGTGCTTGCTTCGAAAAACCCAGAGCACTGCGTCAGTATGAGCCGGTGAAGAAGGTAGCGTTGCTCCTGTGCCCCCGCGCGGATTACGATCTCCACATCGCCGGTATGAGTGAAAATGGGGAATTCGTTCTGGGGTTGATGGGTCAGACCGCCATGGTGAGAGCGACTGGAGCGATGTCGTCGGCTGGAATGCGAATGGCGGGAGGTGGAGGAGAGCGTGCTTTGCGCCGGTAAGGAGCGATCGAGAACTTGAGCCTGAGAGACCATGTCGATGGAGGTGACCGTGGAGGTGGCTTTGGAGGACCTGGTAAACATCGTCTGAGCGAACCGCGCAGTGACCCAACAAATCCCAACTCTCGAGCGGCGGCTGTGTCAATCAAGGACCAACAACACGCGCACCGACTAGGGAGGGGTTTCCCGAATGCGAGAGGAATGCTGAGCGATGCGCGACAATCACCGATTTGACCGGCCAAAAGGGATGTGGCTGCGAAGGTCTGTGAGTGGCGGCGGGTTTACCGTTGTTGATCCCCCGCGATCGCGATAACCACACGGACCACCTCGCGGATATAATTTCTTGGGAGATAAAGACTAGAATGTTAGGGTACGATGGGATAATGAAGAGCAACGAATTTTCTGAAGAAATGAGGAAAGCGATTCACTCTGAGCGAGACTCAGGGCCAGTCCACTTCATGCGACAGGGGGAGGCAGCCAAAGCGCGCACTGGTGTAGCCGCTGCTGCAGGTGAGGGTGAAATGAATAGTAGATCGGCAAACAACACAAGACTGGTCTGACGGGGACAGGTACATTGCAAGTCAACAGAAAGCAACAAGCACTACTAGCCACCAAGGCTCATAATCCCAGGCCAAGTCGGCAGCTTCCCCTGAAGGTGAAGGTGAAAGTGAAAGTGGTGAAGCCAAAGTGAAGGAGTGAAAGTGCGGGAGGCAGGGAAATCATGGATGGAGACGATGCTGACCGGATTGGCTGGTGAGTTTGGTTGGCTGGGGATCACGGGTGGGTGGCTGCATCGCTACGGAGTGTTATGAGTACGGTACTTAGTATAATCCATCTGACCCCTTTTTCTAAGATTCCCCTTGAGTCCCTGGCTTCGCTATTCTAAAACCCCTCAAGTTTCTCTCTTCATCTCTTCATCTCTTCATCTCTTCATCTCTTCATCTCTTCATCTCTTCATATTTTGACCTTGATAAAGTATTCCAACACCAATACAACGAATGTTGTTTGTTTGGCTTGTTTGTGCCTCTGCCGCAGTCTAGCCTGATCCGGCTAGCTGTTTTCAATCCGGTCCGTCCATTGAGTCAGATGCCCTCCACCAATCAATGAATGGATGGCATGGCACCTTCTCCAGGCTTCTCGAGTCTCGCCCCGGCTCTTCCTCCGAACTCAACTCCTGTCACTTACGATGAATCATGCGAATCATGCAAAGCCTACCATCGGGTGTTTCACTAACCCACAAGCAATGCTTCTAACTACAGTCTTCATCCTTGAGATCGATTTTCAATGATGTCGAGCGTTGTTTCCAGATCCCCCCGTTTCGAGTACTCCGTTCTTCCACTGCACCACGGACCTGTCCCACCCCCGCTACGCCAATTCAGTGACCAACCTCGATTGCGCACAGCCTTACATGCGCACGCTTGAAGGGGAACAATGACCCAAGGCTGCTATACTTGCCGCCGTCGCCGGATCGTATGCGACAATGGTTTGCCCACCTGTCGCAAGTGTCGCGATGCGGGGAAGGAATGTCTGGGCTATCAGAAACCCCTCGTCTGGGTGAAGGGCGGCGTTGCCAGTCGCGGGAAAATGATGGGTCGCAGCTACGACGATGTTGTGAAGAGTGCTTCGAGTGCAAGACGGGACAATGGCTCCAGCTCTTCTTCGCCAGCTTCGACAGCGTCACCCGACACAATCGGCCCTGCACTTCCGCACGACACCGACCATGTTGAGATGTCGCACGAATCCAACGACCTGGTGATGGCCGATAGCCACGTAATACAACGCACCCCTCAGCTTCTTGACTCTGTCCCTGCGCCCTGGGGTCTGGTGGATCCATTGTTCAAGGATTTGGACAGCTTTTCCAGACAGTACATCATCCACTGTACGTGATGAACATTCCTTGGACCCCAGGTTCATGCTGACCCGGAGTCAAAGTCAACCAGTACCTTGCCAATTATCTTACGCTCTATTCAAACGGCCAAAACCCGTTCCGCGACTTGACTCCCCTAGTCGGCGACTCCTCCCTACTCGCCCACGTGCTTTCAGCCCTGGGTGCTTTACACTACGCCATTCTAGCCAACGAAGATTTCTCTCCGGGACCCTGGAGCGTGGAAACTGCAGCCGCAGGAACATTGCTCTCGTCGGAGGACGTAGAGAAGGCTGTGATCGGGTCCTTGTCGCGCCGACCGGCCTCGAAAGTATACGAACATTTCCTCGGATTCAAACAGCGTGCACTGCAGCGATTGTCGCAAGACATCCAAGATCCCGTCATGCGCCATGACAACCGAACGCTGGCCGCGATCATGTTACTTGCGTTGATGGATGCGATTGAATCCGGCGACGGAGCCTGGAAGTACCATCTTGAAGGAGCCAAGAAACTCCTCAAAGGCCGCCAAGAAGGCGATCACCCAGATGGCCCGGCAACCCAGGGGCTCTTTTCCTGGTTAGATGACTTTGCGATAGATGGCATCCTCATGTATGTCGACTCTAAATCTCCGCTATTCTGTTTCCTGCTCTCATCTGACCCTGTCCAGTATCCAACTGATGGGCTCTACGTTGGCCCGCCCCGGCTCCCTCACGCGACCCTTCTACACCTCGAACATGGGCCCGGCAGTCCTCAAGCGACTCGAAGAGACCTCCTGGGTCGGCTGCCCCGGCTACCTCCTCGAAGTGATCTTTCTCATCCACGCGGGTCTCTACATGGAACATGATGACTCCCAGGGACCTGACGACAACAACCAACCCTCCTCCCCTCCCCACCTCCCCAAAATGGTCTTCACCTCCCCCCACCTCTCCGCCCATGCCAACCCGCTCCAATCCCCCGCCGCCCTTCTTGCCCACATCCAAGCCTTCGACCCCGCCGCCTGGGCGCAATCCATGCAAAGCTTCCTCCACCTCCCGGACCTCTCCATGCGCACCGCCCTCGCCACCATCTACCAAGCCGCCGTCTACCTCTACGCCAGCCGCGCCCTCTCCCGCCCGCGCCTAGCGGCGAATCCGTCAAGTCCGCCCCGCCACTTCGGCCTCCCCGCCGACCACGGGGCCGTCACCGACCTCCTCATCCGCCAAATCGCCCTCATCCCCGTCGCCGACCCGCACTTCAAGTGCCTAATCTGGCCCACCTTCATCGCCGGCGCCGAGTGCGCTGACCCCGCCCTCCGCCCGTTCCTGCTCGACAAGCTCCGCGCCCTCTACTACGACATCACGAGCGTCAACGTGCGCAACGCCGCCTGGGTACTGAGTCTGATGTGGCGCAAGCGCGATCAGAGGGTCGAGGAGCGGCGCCAGCGGAAGAATCTGCGGCGCCAGCAGCGGCAGCAGCAGGCTGGCTCCTTTTCGGCCAATCCCTGGGCATCTGTCGCGAATGCGCCGGATCCGACAAATCCTTTCACTACTAATCCTAATACCGGTACTAATGATCACGATAATGTTTATAATAACGAAGAAGATGTTGATGACGATGACCACGACGACGACGACGATGATGGCGATTTCGATTGGATCCAGGAGCTGGATGCTTCCCGGATTGACTGGTTGTTCATCTAAGCTCTGGCTCTGGCTCTTGCTCGTGCTCTTGGTATGAGCGGCTCGGTAACCTCACAGTGCTTTACTGTACTACTATATCGGATGGGTAGTTTCGGCTCAAGAAAGGGAACGCCGATCGAATTGGGTATGAAGAAGGGAAATTCACCTATCTACCTAGGTAAACCTAACATCCTACTCACCAGCTGTACATAACTATCCTCTGGTTCCGGAATCGATGAGGAAGGGGAGCATTTATGACACAAGCCTTGTACATACGATAGCGGCGTCTCGGATGCACAAATTATTACACCAGAGATTTGGAATGTATTTGCATTTGAAGGTACTATTATCGAGTTCCCCGTCTTGAATATGGAGAGGGGGTTTTGATAGCCCTGGGAATATGGGTGATCAAAGAGTAAAGAGGGCGGCCAAAGTGAAGCCAGAAAGAAAAAAGAAACCTAAGTAAGCTCCGAGCCAACACCGGATCCTGTCGCTGATCAACAACAAACCCCTTGAACAAGATAAAAAGAGATTAGAAATTTGATTTGATAACTCCCAGCGAGAAGGTGCACTCTATGGCACTGTCTTTCTCTCTCGTCTCTCCCACCAACAATCAAGATCTATTGATCTCGAGATCCTGGATCTCGCCAGGTCCAAAGGATATATATCAGAATGAAATAAAGGAAGTATCGCGCAAAATAGATTGATGCGATCGAAAGTGGTAAACGGGCCAGATGAGGGATATATATGCATACTCCTTCCCATCTAAATGCAACAATCTCAACAAGAGAAAGAAGAAAAACAACGCTCATCATTGCAAAGATGCAGGCAAAAAGTCACACACAAATGAGACCACATCACAATTCTTACACGAGATGCAAACAAAGGAAAATCGACGAGTCGCTGGCTAGAGTGTACGACTGGGTCTCCCGCGATAAACAATAGCCCAAAGCAAGACCTGCTAAGTAGTAGCAAAGAGAAACAGAATTGCCAATCGCAGCTGCGGGAAACACTCAGGGATATCAAGCAAAACACGCGCACGAGTTATGTTCCAAAGACAAGAGGAGAGTTATGTGTGCGATCCTGCGCAGTGGACAGCATCCCAACTTTTCAGGGAATGGAGAGAAAGTGATGGAGAAGAGATCGGGGAATGAAGTTTGAGTGAGAGAAGAGTACGTGAGAAGGGCCTAGAAGACCGCCGCAAGGCCGTTCTTCGAATGGCGTCGGCTGAATCGCTTCTTCCCTTTAACCGAATCCGTATCGGTTGGTGGTTGTTTGACCAAAGTGGCACGGCCCGTGGGTGCGCTTTCTTGCTGGAGTTCTGAGCTCCGGTCCAACGTATTAGCATGGCTAGACAAGCCGGATGACAGGTCGCGGAAGGCGTCATCTGAATATGAGCCATTCCCCTGTTGTGACAAAGCCATCTCTTTGGCTCGGTCCAGAGTATCCAACCACTCCTGAGTGGACATGGCGGTCGTTCCTACGCTACCAGATGACGGCTTGGGATCCTCAAAGACATAATGTTTGTCACGCTAGACGTTTGGGTTAGAGACCAGACCCATCTTCACTAAGAGATTGCACTTACCGTATCCACTACCCAACAAGAGGTCCCCTTAGCGTCTGTTGAGGTCCGATATGTTGTGCCCGGAGTAAGAAGAGACAGTTCCAACTTCGCTTTCTTCTCATCGCCGCCAGATGCTGCCATGATGATCCGACCAGAGGAGGTCACCATGACTAGGCGCTGACGCTTCTTGGTCGTGCTGCCACCGAAGAATCGCGAGAATTTCCGAGGCGCTTCGTATTCACCGCCATTCTTTGAGACTGGACTGTGGGCAGCGGGAGAAGACAAAACGACCAGGTTGCCGAGTTTGAGGATCCGTTCATTGGTTTTCGTCAGTACGGGCGACCATTCGATGTCCAGCTGACTCGGCGGCGGGAGTTCGGTCACTAGTCGAGGAACAACCCGTTGGCTAGCGTTATTGCTTACGGAGGCTGCATTGATGCTTGCGGGATAGCTCTCACCATTGCCGCCGTTGTTGAGCTTAATGGGCTCGCGCGGGGGCGGAACGTATGCCTTGAGACGAGGCGCCTTCCGCTTCCATAGATCCGGACCCCAGGTGATGCCCTGGAAAAATTCGTGGTTCTTGATGTGCTCGATCGGCAAACGACGCGCCGGGTCCAGTACCAGCAGGCGTTCGACTAAATCGCGAGCGATCGCAGGGAACCCGGGAGGAAACTCGTAATCGAGCGCGACGATCTTTTGGAAGGTTTGATACTCGTTTCCAGCCTTAAAAGGAGGCCGCCCCGCGAGAAGTTGGAAGATGATACAGCCAAAGGCCCACAGATCACTTGCCTTGCATGCATTCTTGTCTGTCAGGAGCTCCGGGCTGACATACTCTGCGGTGCCAACAAAAGAGCTCGCGCGTTCATCCTCAGGAATTTCGGTCGCATCGAGCGGAGGCATCCCGCTGGAGTTCGGGCTCGGTTTCCGTTGACTTTTGAGAATCTTGGCCGTTCCGAAGTCGGTGATTTTGATGTGCATCTGACCGTCCAGTAAAACATTCTCCGGTTTTAAGTCTCGATGGATGACGCCACGTCTGTGCATATAGTCGATCGTGTCTAGGATCTGGGCACCGTAGAACCTCGTGCATTCTTCATCGAAAGTAGTCATGCGCTTCAATACCCCCAGCAACTCGCCTCCCTTGCAGAGATCCAAGACGAAGTATAGGGACCGTTCGTCCTGAAATGTGTAATACAACCGAACAATACCCGGGTGTTCGGTGAGTCGGTTGAGAGTGTCCTTCTCGATGTTGACATACTTGACCTTCTTCTCCTTGATGATGTGTCGCTTGTCCAAAATCTTGATCGCGTATTCCTTGAGTGTCTGACGGTCCGTGCCCAATACGACGGTACTGTACGAGCCTTCCCCGAGCGTATGAGCGAACGAGAAATCGCGGACCCCCTTTTTAATATAACGCGCGACCGGTTTACCGTTGGCGTCAATTTCCTGCCGTACAGCAACAGCCGCACCCCGATCTTGCCAATCTTCACTGCTCGAGCTGGGACCATTCTCCATGGCATACGGGGAACCAGTCGACGGACCCCTGTGGGCGCGAGAGGGTTGACGCATGACCATTGGTGTATTTCCGGGAGGTAATTGTGCCGTGCGGTACGACCGATCGTTGTGATTGTTATCGCGTATGGGGACACCCGCTTGGTAGGCCGCAGAGCCTCCGCGAGACTCCGCCCGAGCCAGACTTTCAGAGGCGGAAGACGCGGCGGAATCGGTCCGAATTCGATATGAGCCTTCGCGAGCTGCCAGAGTGGAGGTGGACCCGTTCGCGTAGAATGAGGAGAGTGGACGGGAGGAGGACTGCGGACCGGGGTTGGGTTGCTGCGAAGGCACATAGGAGGAGTATTGAGGCGTCGCTTGTGAAGGTTGCGAGGGTTGCGGCTGTGCAGGGTCTGAGTATGGGCTGTATATCGAGCTCCGACTCTCAAAGGTCCTCGTTGAGGGCTCGACTTGTACCGCGGCGAGGGCTTCTTGGACTTCGGAGCTCGAAGGAGGTGCTGACGGTCGGGGAAGATAGGTAGAGGAGGCACTTTCTGGCCGTTCGGAGGTTGCGGGATCGCGTACCAGGTCGGAGTCTGCTATTGAAGCAGCGCCGGCGGCAGGTGTTGATGCATCTTCAGACGAATGCAACGAAGCATCATCAGGGTTGGCAATGCGTAGTCCTCCCAAAGACTGGGAGAGACTGAGATCCCCATCCATGATGATAAATAGGTGGTTTGATTCTCAAGCCCACCTATTGCAGAGTAAAAGGAGAGGAGGATTGGAGGGGGGGGAGGGGGAG